CGTCATCTGAGTCATTTGTCAAACGGAAATATCAATATTGATGGGCGCCTAGCCCTTGACAGTGGGGGGTTATAGAATTAAGTAAAAGTAGATGCAATTCGCAAAAAAAAAAAAAAAAAATAACAATAAAAGAAGGGTATCTCAAAGTCGCACAACTAAAAATTAGGTGTCAATAGACATTGCATGAATGTTAAGAATCATAAAAACGAAAGAAAAGAAGACACTCACAGACGTCAGTAGATAAACGAGAAAAGTCCACTGTGGATCGGCGAAGCCTTAAAAGCTGCAGCTTCGCCACACTCTGGAGCAATGTGGCGTTCGAATTCAGGGTTCTCCGTTGGCCACGTCAGAGATAAAAACTGGCTGAAGTATGTAAAAATAAAATTGTAGTGTTGTTCAAAATGAAAAGATTAAAGATATTGAGGAATTTCCGAGATGCCAGAGATTTATGTGCGGACTGGTGTTGCCGCTCAGATGTGGGGGAAAAATGCCTTAAAACCGGAATGACCATATCAAACATAGCCAGGGATCTCATTGGCAAGAATGTAATGTGACTACTGTGATAAGACGGGAGGGAGTCGAGACTGTGAAGATCTAGAGCCTGTCAAAAGGACCAGCACGTCGCGAAAGTTGCGCGGTGCTTCTGAAGCGACGATAGCCCCCCATTGCAAAGTCAAAAGGGAATTCTACAAATAGCCAGGGTGATCCCCCAGTGGCCGGATCAACAGGATTGCGCGCACGGAAGCCCACATAGGGAGGTAACAGCCGGTCCACTCGAGGGTTCCCCCTTAGCACGGGCTTGTCGTTGGCTACTTTTTTACACGGTATGGGCTCGCGGCGGCAAAGAGGTATCGGGCAAGACACAACGTGACAGGGTAGTACAACCCGTGGCGTATCCTGGGCTATTCGTCATGCATGGCTTGAGTCGTTGAATTATCCTACATATCGTGACTCGATCGCACGTCAGATCAGCTGATAGATTCAAGCTGAGAGTATCTGCATGATTGGAACTGTACACCGATGTAGCGGGCAATCTCGTATTGACAACCAGTCTGGTTATCGCGTCTCCCTCGCCTCCAACACAGTGCATTCGGAGACGCCGAGCGACTCGGAACCAAATGGTGCAATGATCGACGCGAAGATGTTTTTCATTTTCATTTCCGTTCTTTTAATTTTTCTTCTTTGGCGGTTTGCAACTCCAGCCTTTCCCGTGCAGTCGGGGAATTTCCCAACATGGTTTCAAGGAACAATGCATATGCGGATAGACGTCAGCGTGTGTTTTACTCTAAAATGCTTCATCTTTTCCGAACCGGTCGCGTATTCATTTTCCGATTCAATATGGTATCGTATCGTCCCATATTCTGAGACATATCAAGTCTCAAGATTTCCCAACGGCCATAGTCCATAGTTTGGTACAGAGGCCCGTCCCGAACCTTTCGGAGTTCCAAGGTTCAAGCATTCAAAGGAACGTCTCGACTTGTATGACTCGAAGAGCCAGTGACTGCCCGTAGAGAGCATTTCGTAGGGTGTTTGACATTCAACTCGAGACGGTGGAGCCCGCTAGTCACTGGGCTGTGATGGCCCACTGGATAATCGAGCAATGAACAAGCCCTGGACGACAATCAAATGCTAGCTCGAAGCCACCATTATAAAATAAGAAAACAACCGAGTTGTAGGCTGCGATTCGTGGGGAGGTAACTGGGCTAAGTGGGGAGGGCGTTAATCCGGGCAATTGGAACAACGAACGAGAAATGAGTTTAGCATTGACCAGTGTATGTTGTATATTGAAATTGTAATACTGTACTCCGTATGCACTCCATACTTCATGCAAAGTACTCTCGGACTCTCAAAGATAGCAAAGGAAGAGTTTGAGGTCCCACAATCACAATCTGGCCTATACTCCTCTAGTGACTGGTCGTAGTGGTCGACGCCCATCCTGCAGGAACAAGCGACTAATGCACTCTTCAGCTCACTTCACACGCAGTCACCGGGGAATTATTTCTGGGGGCCGCAAGAGAACTTGGAATTGAGTTTTCTCTGGGTAGGTCAGTGCTTGGACATGGCCCTAGAGGGAATAGAGAAGTTGATCTCAGGTACTCTCTCCCACCTGAATTGCTACATACTCCCGATTTACAAAAGTAAACCCATTACACTTGTACATTTTTATTGAGATCCACATATATTAAAACAAATAGAATGGAATGATTGACCCTGAAATTGTCCGGTAGCATATCAACACACAAACGCCCATGATGAAACAAGAGATGGAACCGAACTCGTCAAAGACCAGACAAAGCAAAATATTGGAAACACTCAAGCAGCGGCTGCAAACCGCTTCTTGCGAGCCTCCATGGCCGCATGATCCTTCTCACTCCAACTCTTCTGGGCAGTGTTCCCGCCGGCATTAGGCTTCTTCACCCCAGCATTGGTCTTGTTCCCATCGCCACGGTCGCGGTTGCGGTTTCCATCTCCACGTTGACGGTTGCGGTTGCGTCCGGCTCCAGTATCACGTCTCTTGCCTCCACGACCACCCTGATCGTTGCGGTTGTCGTTGCGACCCTCATTACGTCGCTTACGGGAGCGCTCATCAGGAAGTGCCTGGTCAAGACGACTTACACCCGCAGCGGGGGTATTCTCAGCCTCGGCACCAGTACCGAATCGCTTAGCGCGCTCCAGCTGCTTCGTAGCCTCCTTCAAGGCTGTGTCGTCATCCTCAACAATTCCAAACTTCTGCGCACGAGCCTTGCGCTTCGCCAGCTCTGCTTCCAGATCGGTCTGGGGCAGTCCTCGTGTGTAGTCAACGGCGGGCTTCTGTTCGGTTGCAGTTTCGGGCTGAGTGGTGGGTTCAGCGACGGCGCCGGTCGCCTCGACCTTCAAGTCCTCGGTGGTGGCGGGGTTCTCGTCGAGCTGCTGGTTGGGGACAGCGACGGGGTTTGAAACTGCGCCCTGGCCACCAGCGGCAATTGCAGCTGCGCCGGCTTCTGTGGATGGCTCAATAATTGTCTCTGTAGGTTCGTCGTCCCAGTCAATGACGTCCTCGGGTGCATCGGTCTTGGCTGCGGTAGGAGCTGGGGCGGAAGAGTCGGAGGGCTTGGTCTCGTCGTCTTCCTGGAGGCGCGAGACCATATCGGCCTTCTTTCCAGTGTGGGGGAGAGAACGAGTCTTGAGGATCTCGACCAACTCGGCGTTGGTCTTCTTGCTGTAGTCGGTGGCCATTTTGCGATCGGAGATTGGTAGGTAGCAATTGGTGGAGGGGGTAGAAGCAGAAGTGATTGGAATAATAATCAGATGTTTGATATTCAGAGCAGACCAAATATCACAGTATGTGATAAACAAAAGAATGGAAGTTGGATTGCTGAAGGAAAGACACCCAAAGGCGCGATCTCACCCAGTGGAGGTCCCCCAGCTGCAATTATAACAATTACATAAGCAGTTTAGAATTATCCCATTGGCCACCTGGACACCAGGCAACAATGCCAGATCCACCTCTTCATGAAGCTTCTCGATCATCGACTTGTTTTATTTGAGTGCAACATATCTTCCTTTGGATTATATTTCACAACCCACTTCTTTAAATAAGATTATGGATACCTCGACATGGTTATACATGATATATACATATCTATCAACAGTATACTATTGAGAGGTTGGATTTGGATACCTATATAGATCCGATGGAAGCTCCAGATGAAAGTATAATTCGGCGCCTCCGAGCAGAAGACGCAATGTGATATTCCTTCAATTTATGCACGTCTCCATTTCCAAAAATACGAAATACGACAAAGGTCCATTGTCATTGGCAGATAGAGTGCTCCGTGCAGCGATCAACACGCCACAGTGCAGAGGCTGCGGGCTGCGGGAGTCGAGCTGGGGATACAGACAAAGACAAAGTGCTCGTTGAGAATTTAACAGGCGCATTAACCGAATCAGAGACTGACAATTGTAAACGTACGGAGAGCCGGGACAGCATTTTGGAGGTAATATGGGAACCTGCATGCACTGCGCCACAACAGAAGCAGGTTTATAGACTACAACATACATCATCGCCACATTCCTTCCTCGGGCATCCCATGGACTTTGTGACCTGCCATCATGTCATTCCAAGGTTTTTGACAAGGTACGGAGTACAAAGCAGGCAAAGAGCATACGATGAGTCGTTCAATTTATTCTAAATCAATCAAAGTAGGATGTAGGATATGGAAGAATAAATCAGAAACCCACCCCCGTTCCCCAAAGATGTGCCTGTGACCAGTAAAAGTGTTAGTTTTGACAATCTCTTCCAGTTTCAAAAATGCTTCACTCTTGAACACCCTTCCGCTCCAGTCGCCGCAAGAATCGTTCTCTAGATAGTTATCGTCAATGAATCGACGTCTCAAGTAACTGTCCGGTACCAATGGGTGCCAACGCGGAAACACCGAAAGCAGATTTCGAATATCCCCGTGATGTTTCATGCGATCTGCAATGTTCATGATGAGTTCGGTCAGTAGAAAGACGTTGCTGGTTTTGAAAGGAACCTAGGATCGTCGGGACATGTTGTGTGTGGCTATTGTGGGTTGCGATATTGGCTTAAATCCTTCTCCCTCTGCTTGGTATACTTGGCTGTGTACTTGGCGATCACATTGTCAATGTAGAAGTTGTTCAGTGGGTCGGCGCCGAGAAAGTCACAAATTATGTGACTTGGATTTCCACGATCAATAGCACAAAATGTTTTGGTACTGGGATGGAATCCTGGGGGCAAAATGGAAGCTTTTTTTGCCACGGGGGAAACAAGAGCAAGTACCGCTCTCACCTCGTGAGAGACAAGGATTGAGTCAACCCCTAGCTCTGCGCATGTAAGCAACTTTCACTTGAACATTGCGCGCACGAAGATGTCCATATTTCTTTTGATCATGTCTACATCGAGAATTCGAGTCATGAGCTGCCAGCATTGTTCGTGCATAGGAAATGCTTTGGGATATTCCAGCCTCGAGACAAAGTTCGAAATTAGAGGAACATGCTGCCTATCGCTTAGGTGATTCCACAGTTATTTGATGAGTCGGTCGAAGCTCGCCAACACCAGAGAGATGGAATATAACTCCTTGGCCAGTCCTAAGAAACACTGAGATTATGCTCAAGGTTAGAATGGACAGCATTTGATCAAGATTTTGAAAGCAACACTAACCAGCTCGAAACATGCAAGACCATGTCCACGTCTCATTGAAGTGTATGTCATCAAGATCCGCTGGTTTTCCGTTCAACCATGGATAATGGAGTGGGGAAACATTCAGATCTTTTGGTGCATCGCGATATACGATCTCGGAAATTTGAGTGGTCGAAAAACTGTAAATTCTACTACCACACAAATCGCGGGCAACCTGTTCTCTGCGGGATATGTTTCTTATACCCGGATACAAGGCTACTTAGAGAATACGGGTAGTACTAGAGAAATACAAAGCCGGGTTCACGATGTAGAAAGTAAAATTCGATAAAGAGAGATGGGAGAGCAAAACATTGATTGTCGTAGAATCCCTCTTCGATCCTAACCATGATTCTCGTCAACTCATCAGTCTCTGTCCATATTCGTGAAGAAAGGCCCTTGCCGGAAAGTAAGCCTTCCAATCTTCCTGTATTCACCATCTCCCCTGTCAAGTCTCATTTTGAACTCCACCCCGGGCACCAGAAATTCACCGAAGCAGTCCAAGTAGGCATTCGTCCACTCCATCCAGCCCTCCAACCCTTGCTCCATCGTAGAAATGCTCGTGTGCTGCTCAGTTCTCTTGTCTGGTTGGGTCGCCCATCCAAACACCTTCAGATTTGGAATCATCATGGCCCAGAACGGAATGTCGGGTAGGTTCAACTCCCCGCTGTAAAATGGGCTGGGGGCGATGGCGAGAATAAGTCGGATTCGCTGGAGATTCTCTTCGGTGAATGTTTTCTTGAGTGTGGCTTCCGCTCCTTTATCCAGGTAGAGTTCGAACAAGTTCTCGCCATAAAGGATGTTCAAGCATTCGTCACTCATTCGTTTGGAAACATGTAAAACGTTAGTCCAGAGAGGACTGGTGTTGGAAAATCTGTCTTCAAGGGATGGGTCACGCGTTGAAACCACAGGTTCAACCCCGTAGGGACGAAACATCTTGCTTGTCACTTTGATGGCACATTTTCGGGGGACGCAGAAGGCCAAGATTTTCAACCGTATCTCAGTGGGTATCGCGTAGAGTCGAGGTGTTGTCGGAGTTGGAGTGGGTTGTTCGGACTGGTGTTCTTGTGGGCTCTCCATTGATGCTGAACTGGAGAGGCAAGATTCACTTACTTATTGTGCGTCTGGGTCAGATGCTAGCTAGAGATTATAATATTCAGAATCGTCACCGTGCGTGTTGGAGTATGTACCTCATCAACAGAATCATACCTCACCAAGGTGATCAGATCCGCGATCTCGAGATAAATCAACGATTAGCTGCGGTGGCCTCAGGGTATCAAAAATACAGGAAAGATAGAAGCAAGCGAATATGTTACATGGAAGATAGGAGGGATGGCAGGAGGCCCAAGTTGACGGCTAGGTCAAGTGGGAAAATAGGTTGGATGTAGTGGAATGATAAATCAGAGGTGAGTTGCAGGAGGAAGTATGAGACTGGTTGACAGAGACTTCAAAGTATCGCGATCAACCTCGTGAAAACCAAACTGTCGATATCCTAGATCGACGGTCTTGGATAATCGCGATGGCAGCCCCAGGCTCCGATATCCATAGGCTAGAACAAAACATTTAACACAGGACCTAGGAGCCTCTCTGAAAATTCCTAGCTATACTTAGCTAGTCTGCATGTATTTCTATTCACAGGGTGGTCATGAAAGGTTATGAAAGCATGAAAGTTAAGTTTGAAATGCTGTCAAGTGTCAACATAACGTTTGACCTCATTGGGATCCTAAAACTTCTGAACTACACTTCCCACAGTGGGAAAAGACAAATACGTCCAACTTAAATTTAGTGAGTTGCACAAATATTACGTACATATATAAGTACATATCTTAGCAAGTGTAAGAGATCAACTACTCAGTCATTCATCGAGCCCAACAGTATGTCGAAACGGCTGACTCATAGGGAGATTTTCTGAGTATTTGTCTTCTCTTTGAAATCCCTATATAACCGCTTGTGCTGCTCCAAAAGAATCAGCGTTGCCATAGTCTGTGGTCCCAGCCGAACAAAACCGGGCGTCCACCCTCGAAAGACCCATCTCATTCCCCCTGCCGTTGTAAGAACCTTTACCACATGCAGTATCCCTTGCTTGCTTGAAGACCCCATTAACTGAGTCTTAACTACATCAATCGGACTGCACAGTGTCGTAGCAACTAGCGCGGCCAAGAAAGATGCTGACAAATGCAAACCAGGATGATCGTTATGAATCCCAGTGGTTGCCACTATTAGATCACTAAAGGTATCATATGATGCAAGCTGGCAGCTGGTCATCACACCACAGCGAAAGGCATTCGGCCACAGTCCCTGTCCAAAGGCCGTCCATCCCTCCTGGCGCTTGATCTGCCTCCACGCATCGAATATATGCCGGTAATTGCGACGAAGATGAGGAGGCAGTGAACCGTCATTTTGCATACGGATATTGCCGATATCTGAGGAGTTACCGAAGATTGCGCCAATAAATCCAGAGATTCCAGCTAAGAGGCCAAGGACTGGTGGTGAGGTGGGAATGTTGTTCGCTTTGGTTTGTTCTTTTAGTCTCTCGTATAGGCCGATGCGGACAGAGCCATATGTTACTGCCGAATGGGTGAGTATATATCGATTTGGGGATTGATGAAAGAGATGGAATAGTTATGTCGACTAACGCTGTCGCATGAACCCTGCTGATAGCTTCAATCCATCAGTATCTTGTCACAATTAACATCGTTCTTCATTAGACCTACCCCATTATAAAGTGCAAGTACGCCCTCTCCCCGAACGATTCGAATCCAGGTATTGAGTGTCCCAGCCTTAACACTACCCTGCTCCATTTGCATTCTGATCTTGACTATGGTTGATCAATCAAACCTATGTTCTTTTGAATGGAATATCTGAACTCACTCAGGTCCAAAGGGTGAGAGACAAGGACTGCCATGCATGATGCAGAACCCCCGAACCACTTGGGATAGGTAATTGACTCAGATATGTCTATTGATTGGCTCATGTTGAATATTTCAAATAGATTTAGCTTCATTTCCAAGATAATCGAAAATCATTGGGTCTTCTTGTATCTTAAACAGTGGCATATAGCCGATTTGGAAATCATCACAAAGCCGACGACCATGGTGCGGGGGGCTACCGAATAGATGAAGCAGACAGTTATCATCGCAAATGCTTGAGTCTACATGTATGCTCTTTGTACTGTAAATGTCTTTACGTATGACATGAATCAAGGAGGTTGTCAGTGTTTTTGTTAAGTGAGAGTCCTGTGAATGCCACTGTTTTTCTCGTTATCAATCAGCCTACGTTCTCCTATGTGTTCAGATCTGGCAAACATTGCCACTTGTTTTCAACCTGGAGACTTCCTGTAGTCAAGCCTGTGGAAACCTCACAAGTGAATAAGGATTTAGCTGTTTAAACCTAAGATACGTTGAGAGCTCTCAAAGTAAAGCTGTATATATATATCAGAAAGATCGAGCAGTGTTCTCATGTGTCTACAGGTCAGACTGAATATCGAGTGATTAGACCGCCAGGCGTGTTTATCAAATGTGCCTACCATAGATATAATATCCTGCCTGGGCAGTTGGGGTGGTCGAACCCTTGCGTTGGTCAAAGGCGCTGTTCAGGTTGCCGAGGAAACTGTGCATAACCTTGCGGCATACGGAAATACGAAAACCAACATTATGTCCCGCTGACAGAAGACAATGAAGAAATCCTTTACAGGGACACTAGACTACAGCCATCTTCTCCAAGCGCCCGGACATGCCGAACAGTTGATGAAAAAGGAATTCGCGTCGATCGGGGGTAGTGTAAGCCCAATGACACTGTGCAACGAGGCATGCGCAAGCACAGGGGCCAAGTTGCGGGTCATAAAAATTGGAATAATCAAAGTGTTTCCTGGACGGAAACTTTCAGAGATTAAACTGAAAAGAACAGATACTACACTTGATCTAAGCCAATAGGCAAAGAGAGCTGAAGAAGAAAGAAAAGAAGAGGAAGTCTCGGGGGAAGCAGGACCTTCTTATATCCCGAGGGCGGTCGGTTTCTGCCAACTTTGACAAATGTGGCAAACAATGGACGCAGCAGTCAGAAGCGAAGCGGACAGAAGCGGTCGGAGGGATATTGCCTGTTTTCTGTCAACATGGAAGGTTGTCTTCAAATCGTAATCTTGTTTTTATCAGGTGGAATATGATGATAAAATGGTTACAGGATCTCGAATTATTTCCCCATTAACTTTATCGGTCTATATAGGTCTGCTAGCATATAGATAAGGATCAAAAGGTACCTTGTACTATGTAAATCAGGCTTGGACTTGTGCTGGTTAGATTCATGGATGTTATCCCTACATTGAAAAATAAACAGCTCACGGAAGAAGAATCAGATGTTCACTATACACAGGGCTTGTTTGAAGCAGTAGAGGTAGGGAAAAAAAAAACAAGACACACAAAGGAGAAGGACAAGACATAATAGCACAACGCCATGGGAAGAAAACATGGAACATTTAGTACACCCTAGCCAGCGTCGAAAGTTCCAGGGTTTATAGATCACATCAAGGAAAATAGGTGGTTCCTCTTTTCTGATTTTTCCCCTAGCACAGGCGAATCTAACCATCTAAGAGGGTGCCATGGGAAGGTTTTCTTCGGGTTTGGTTTTTCTTTTTATTATTGCGTTACCAATACCGTCTATCGGTCAACCTCACCGAACACAAGATCCATAGTACCTAGAAGAGATTCAATGTTAGAGGCTATGAATTGAATTAGATAAGAAAACAAAGACTTACCGATAATTGCGACAGCATCGGCGAGCAGGTGACCACGAGACACCTGATCGAAGCCACCCAAGTGGGCGAAACCAGGAGCACGGATCTTGCAGCGGTATGGCCGCTCACTGCCATCACTGACCAGGAAGACACCCATCTCACCCTTGGGGGCCTCGATGGCTGAGTAGGTCTCACCAGGGGGCACGGAGTAACCCTTGGTGAAGAGAAGGAAGTGGTGAATGAGAGCTTCCATGTTCTCCTTCATGGCGGCACGGGGAGGAGGCGAGATCTTGTAGTCCTCAACACGGACCGGACCAGCGGGCATCTTGTTCAGGCACTGGTGGATGATGCGGAGGGACTGACGGAACTCCTCCATACGGCAGAGGTAACGGTCGTAGCAGTCACCGTTGACACCGACGGGAACGTCGAACTCAACCTGGTCATAGGCATCGTACGGCTGCGACTTGCGGATATCATAGGGGACACCCGAGCCACGGAGCATGACACCAGTGAAACTCATGTTGAGAGCATCGGTGGCGTTAACAACACCGACACCCTGGGTTCTGGCCTTCCAGATACGGTTATCCGTGAGCAGCTCCTCGGTCTCGTCAATGCGGTCACCGAACTGAGTGGCCCACTGGTAAATGTCGTCCAAAAGACCAATAGGGATATCCTGTGACACACCACCGGGGCGGACGTAAGCAGCGTGAAGACGGGCACCGGAGACACGCTCGTAGAATTCCTAAAGCACCCGATGTGTCAGTAAATAAGACCTGGCCGTAGTGGCTTCTAGAAGCTCTCAATTACTCACCATGAGCTTCTCACGCTCCTCGAAACCCCACAGGAAAGGAGTAAGAGCACCAACGTCCATTGCGTGGGACAGGACGGACATGAGATGGTTCAGGACTCGGGTCATCTCGCCGAACAAAGTACGGATCCACTTGGCACGTTCAGGGATGTCGACGTTCAACAGCTTCTCGACGGCCAAGGAGAAGCACTGCTCATTCGTCATCATAGAGACGTAATCCAATCGGTCAAAGTAAGGCAGAGCCTGCATGTAGGTCTTGTACTCGATCAACTTCTCAGTACCACGGTGAAGCAAACCGACGTGGGGATCGGAGCGAACGATCTCTTCACCATTGAGTTCCAGAATCAATCGGAGCACACCGTGAGCAGCGGGATGCTGAGGGCCGAAATTGACGGTGTAATGACGGATCTTGCGGTCGATCCCTTCGGCCTCGGATTCAAGGCCAGCAGCATCGGGGTCCTCCGGAAGACCCTTGTTGGCGATGGAGGTGAAGGTCGGGTCGGTCGGCACAAGTCTTGTGGCCTGGTAGCTAGTAGCCTCTGCCTGACGGCGAGGAACAGAGGTGGCTATCGAGCGGGAACGAGGAATGGATGTGTTGAGCGAGGAGGGGCGGAGGCAGAGCCTTTTGGGCGCATTGCCCGCTAGGCGGGCGAAAGAAGCGGCCATGGAGGATGGAGAATTGGAGGTCCAAGAGGGAGAAGAGGGGAGATGATCCTCAATCCAGGCGCATTCAATGGGTGGATATGGCTCGCTACGGATAGGGAACTCGCTGAAGGTCTCAAGTTGGGAGTCGCATTTTGGCTCGTCACGTGAAAAGCTGCCGGGTCATCAGCCGTGCGCTGGTTGGCTTGAAGGGGCCACTATACTGTGTGCGTGATGGCTTCACGCTAGCCTTTCTTTGGTTTAGCGTGGTGTATTCCTCACGTAATCTCGAATTTCATGATTATATAATCTCTCATCATGTCTGCAGAATAAAGGCCCCTTTTATGCCTCAGGCAAACTAGAAAATTGCTTCGAGAAATCTCTCTTATCGGTGATCGCGGATTTTACCATCAACCTTCACCAGACCCTCTATAGTTGCTCACCATGGCGCCTCTTGTTCCCTCGCAGGAGGAGCTACAGCGCCGCCGTGTATGTCTCCAACAATGATCCCATGCAGCTCAGAATACTAATCGTCCTAGATTATCGGCATCAATGCGGAAACCGTCACCAATATCCCCTCCACAGATTTTCCTGGTCACTGGCCCGGAGAGTCGCATGGGTGGGCACTCGACGAATTCAAGAATGTATGTGCTGAAATATCATCCGGAAGGTATACTCTGCTGGATTCAATCAATTCTGACCATTTAAATCCAACAGAATTTCCAAGTCGAATTCCACCGCAATGAACGGTTCGAGGCTTCCTTCTCTCTCGTTGGACTCGACGCCGCCGTCGCGAACGCTTTCCGACGTATCCTTATGGCCGAGATCCCTACCATCGCCATTGAAGACTGCTTCATTCACAACAACACTTCCGTCATTCAAGACGAAGTGCTCGCACAACGACTGGGCCTGATTCCCCTCAAGGGCTCTGTCGAGGGAATCAACTGGATGCACTGGTTCAAGAAGGCGTCCGAAGACGGAGGTGAGGAGGAAGATGGCCCCTGCGACTTCAACACCATTGTACTCCACCTCGACGTGGAATGCTACAAGAACGAGTACGCAGACAAGGACGAGCAGGACCCCCGCAAGCTGTACACCAACGCCCATGTTTACGCCAAGGACCTCATGTACATGCCCGTCGGTCGTCAGGAACAGTACTTCGTCGGCGATGGTGCTATCGCACCTGTCAACCCAGACATTCTGATCGCCAAGCTTCGCCCCGGCCAGAAGATCGAGATGGAACTTCACTGCCAGAAGGGTATCGGTGCCGATCATGCCAAGTTCTCGCCCGTGGCTACCGCCTCGTACCGTCTCCTGCCTGATATTAAGATCGAGCGTCCCATCATTGGTGAAGATGCGAAGAAGTTTGCTAAGTGCTTCCCCAAGGGTGTGATCGGCCTTGAGCCTATTACCTCTGCCGAGGCTGCGCAGCCTGGAAGTGGATATGAGGGCCATGTTGGCGAGCAGAAGGCTGTCGTTAAGGATGCGTTCAATGATACTGTCAGCAGAGAGTGTCTGCGCCACGAAGAGTTCCAGGGTAAGGTCAAGCTAGGACGGGTGCGGGATCACTTCATCTTCAACGTGGAGAGCACGGGTCAATTCGAGAGTGACATGCTCTTCCTGGAGGCTGTCAAGGTTATGAAGCTGAAGTGCAACCGGTGGAAGAGAGGTCTGACCGATCTGATGGGTTGATCAATGGGTCTTTTCTCTTCTGCACCTTATTATATGCATTCTTTGGCGTTGGATTTTTTTTTTGGCTGCCTTTGCGCTGTACATTTACTAAAAGTCGGTCAGGGCTTCGCCTCACGAGGCTGGAGTCTGGATGTGTTAATTGTCTTAGAAAAGAGAACAACAGCTATCTTTTGAATTCTACGCAGTTAACTAAGGCTAATCATCCCGGTCATAAAAATATGTGATTTATTGTAATTTTCAAATGAGAGGACTATTGCCTTTATTTGAAGTGAAGACGGAAGCGAAATGTAATGGTGTAGGCTGGGTCGCTGACAGCGACTTCCTCGCCATCCTCGATCAAATCTGCCAGCCTTTTTACCAAGTGAGGCCGGGTCATTTCTTCTAGCTGAGGTGGGAAGCGCTGGTAGAGGGTCTTCTCTTCGGTTCGCATACTAGGCTTCTTCAATTGAGCCTCCGCCCTTTCTCCGAGGCTGTCGATGAACTCGCCCAGTGTCATATTGGGATCCACATTCAACTTCCGGGCAAGTTCTCCGCACACGGGGCAGTCGGGCTTCTTCTCCGCCTCGAAAGTGTAGGTGTACACCCCTTCCTCGCCAGCATACATCATGTAGTTGGTTAGGAATGGATTACAGCCAGTGGCAATCTTGAGCACTTCTGAAGTTGTGGAGGCCGCAATGACGGCGTTCGTTGATGCGATAGCTGGAATGATATTTTTGACCACACCCTGGGTCATCTGGAAGGTAACACCATGTATATGGAAGTGTTGGGCACGTTCGTAAGCGGCATTGTATATCCATGATATGTGTTCCAAGTCGTCACCATCAAAGGTTTCATCTTTGCGCTTCTCTTGCCATGCAATTTGGTGCGCCCATTCGATGCAGTGTTGAGGCTGGCGCGGGATGGTGGCAATCGTGCAGAGAGGAACTGCTGCACGGGGGGCGTGCATATCCAGTTGGCACTCAATGCAGGATGAGATAGAAGGTAGAATGACACGGGCTTGACCCTTGAAACCTGTTTAATATATCAGAAGCATGTTCTTGACTAAGTTTCACGATGCAGGTAGGTACCTTCAGTTCCACCATCAACAAGTGGCTTCAGGCTCGAAGGGTCATCTTCATCGACCATCGAGATCAATGTAGAATTGATCCAGCGTCGAGCTTCGATACTGTCCAATCCACAGACGACAATATTAAACTGCATGTAGTAGTCTTCATCTTTGTCTTGGATCTTGCCGACGTAGGGTGTGATATTCACTCCCTTCACTCGCTTTTGCACAAAAGCAGCGGCGACTTCAGCTTTGGGCTTTCCAATATCTGCTTGGCGGAACAGAAACTGCCGGTTGAGATTTGATATGTCAATGGTATCTGGCAACTGTGAGCTTCTGGTCTTGGCATTCTGAGTTGAAACACATACCCATGTCGATGACATGAATATCTTTGAATCCCGACAGTGCGAGATTCTTTAAGATCTCGCATCCTAGCCCACCAGCTCCGCTAGATTTCAGTCAGCCCTTCATCTTGATAGAATAACAGAACTTTGCAAGGTTGACAAACATCACCCTAGAATTGATGTTAGCAAAAGTTAATATCTCCGAAGTAAATCAACTTGCAAGATTTTGGAAGATTCCAGAGCATTGATAGGCTCGGGGCCAGGGTTCCAGTCTTCATCTGTAAAAGGACCACGTTTACTAAGGACGTTGTAGAGATGCTTCCTGTGGGGTGTTAGAACAGATCGAGGTCTTGAGAGTCATCCAACGCACCATCGACCTTGCTGGTCCACGTAAATCGGAGACTCTGAGGCGTCTGGGGTTTCTGAATCCACATCCATTTTGATAGGATTCTGTCATGGGTGGAGAGAATAAATAGTTATACGTATTTGACTTCTGAGGTCTGCCAGGTGGGGCTTTCCTATCTTAGCTGCCGCTTTTATGAGCTCAGAGTCTCAGAGTTAACTAGTCAGACTCACTGAGTAGATTTCAGTCCGGGCTCAGTGCTCAACCGAATCACGTGATGAACCAGGTCCTGGCCTAACCTTTAGTATAAATACGAGTGTTTATTTATTATGGTATCGCCATAGTAAACAGCCCAACCCTATTTCTGCTACGCGCTTCTCCAGATAGGCCCTCGCTATTCTTGAGAGTGGATACATGATCTCCTTCATCCCATCCGCAGAGTTTCATATTTGCTTATATCGGACGATCGACTTGACCTGACAATACTCGACTAGACCCATCAACCCACATTCAACACCCTCCCCACTCTCCTTATGCCCAGAAAATGGCACACGCGGATCAGCTCGACTAGATTCATTGATAAAGACAGTCCCAACATCTAGTTGACTCGCAATTCTCTGCGCAGTATGAACGGAACCCCATGCTCGCACTCACCTCCGTCGATGTACCATTGACAGCTGCTATCACAGAATCTTCTTTTGAAAATGGCACACACGGGATTATAGGCCCTTGGCCTTCAGCCCATGCAAAAGCGACAACTACAAAAGTGTCCATCCCCATGCCACCAAGCTCACTAGGCCCTCTTCAATATAACACTCGGCACACCGCCACAACCCTTGAACGTCCTAAGTGACTGGACATGGATGTCGCTTTTCGCACGTTCCGCAAAATGCGTGGGATCATATAATATTACAAATGTATCGCACCACACCAAGATTACTTCAATGAGAAAAAAAAAGTTCTGGAACATTCATTACAACCAATCTTTCCGCGACTAGATGGGAAGGGACTGGCTTCCTACCCGGAGACTAATTCGCCGTGACCTACAATCGGGACGAAGTCTGCACGGGGGACGTCTGTGACAACGGTGTTAGTTTCCAATTTCTGATTTCGATTTTGTCATTGTCGAAGTGGTTCCATTTTGTGGCACATTTGGACTCTCACCTGTGTTTCCTTCTGAAAATGTGACGTTCTATCCGGCTTCGTATCAAGCTTACCTTGCGGGTCAGTGGGTTCCACAAGTGGGATACCATTCTTGTGTGGCATTGACCTCTAAATCCATATGCGGATGAGGTGATATACAGACTGTCTTTGGTGGCACGGTGAATAGGGATGTTTTTGATCCCGCCAACGTTGTTCGTCTCGATGTGAGCGTAGGAAGGTGCCTCTTTGAGAGTTCTCAGCTTAATTTCACTGCTTCTCGAAACGATCTCTGGGCGATTGAGTGGATAGGAATGTGGATTGGATCGGAGAAAGCGGAACTCAACCAGGAGACGGTCGTCACTGGATGCGCCGATTGGAAACCTAGAGCTATCTTTGATGAAGGTTCGGAGGGATATGGTGCCCCGGTTCCACTGAATGCACTTGCTGATCTCCTGCCTACAACAAATGCGATGGAGTCTGGTACAGGCTCAGAGGTATCATATCCGCTATCGACAATCTTGATAGGCTTCCGACTCTCACTTATGAGTTCCAAGGTGAGCAGAATTACATTGTCTCACCTAGGACTTATGTGAGTTGTTCTGGTGAAAGTTGCACACTAAATATCAAGACATGGGATTTTTACTCGAATGGCCCCATGGCACTTTTTGGACAAACTTTCTTCGAGACTCCTTACGTGATCTTGGACTTTGAAACAGAGCTTGATAGCTTCGTGAGAATTAGGAGCTGTGCATGTAGCGCGAACTGGAAAGTGTGTTTCTATATTGTATGATTGATATTCATGCAAGTGCTTTAGACACTAGGAAAGAACTAGATAATGAAGTATTTAAATTCTGATCAGCTTAACGTAAATAAATGAGCACGTCACTTTCTCATTCCGATGCTCCCTGAGGAAGGTCTGTTTGGTTAAAGAGCTCCAAGGCAATGTTGAATCGAATAATGGCAGAGCGCTCCGCATCGCTGCATCCTGCAGGTCTGAATTTTGGTTGTAAAATCCACCACCCTGCATAGACACATTGTTGTCCAAAACTTCCAGACATTTCACCGAACAATCCGAAGGATTTGCTATGGGGCGTAAGCCAATGGATTCTTTGAAAGTAATGAATAGCCGTTGAAGTAAAGACATGGTGCTCGGATAGTGCGTAGGTGGCTGGGCATACACATAGGTTTTCCGGGAATGTCAGCTTGTACTTATATTCGGAGGGTTTCTACGCCAGTTTTTGACCATACAAACTAAGATCACCAACACTCAGATGAAAGGAAAGAAACTCATTGTGATTCCACTCAGACACCGTTTCATGGATGACCAGCTCATAGGTGAATCGTGGAAAGTACGGTGGCCAGGAAACTCATCCATGCGGGCAAATCAGCAACGAAAACCCGAATACGATGGATATCGATCCACCGCTACAAATCCTTAGTGCTTTTTCCCTGAGACCGATTCTCTATGATATCGCGAATTTAATACGCGATAAGAGGCACGAACAAAAAGTGACAAGCAGTCAAGCCCAGGCCCGCCCAGTACCATCGCGAAGATCGGAGACAGTCCAGTACCGGACGATCAGTCAGCAGATTGGCGACCGAAGTGGAGACCGTGAGGGTGTTGAGACCGGCAACGATAAAGACGCCCTGTTCGAAGAAGCGACGGAAGTTACTCGGGAGTATCGTCTCAGTTTCGGACTTGTGCTCTGAGCGTAGGAAGCCTGGCAGATACCAGCGCTCATCCCAAGCATAGATTAGCGCCGATGTGGTGATGAGAAGCGGGGCAACGCGGAGAAGCTTAAGCGGGTTGAAGAAAAGCCCAGAAGCCATCTTATTTCCGCCCTTATTAAATCTAAAATCCAGACATGGTAATCCTATGGGAATAAGAATTGTGGTATTCGGACCAGGAGTTAGCTGAATGAAGAGAGGAAGAGGTTGGAAAGATGCCACAAACAGGTAATGGCTGGAACGGGCCGGAACGGGCCGACCACAACCCGCCGAAACCCACCTAACCTGATGCCGAAGTCCGAACTCCGGGGTATTCAGTATTTATCAAGTACAAAATAAGCGGCACGACAGCCGGAAAGGGTTGGTCTTGCCGATCGTAATATGATGAAGGCCGAGAAGAAACAATGCACTCGATTCGATTCGTATGGATAAAAAGGGGAAAGAGAAGAAAAGAAAGAGGGAGAACAAAGTGGCCGGTGACGGTGATTATAACTCCGGCCATCACCCCAAATGGTATGGTTATTGTTGCGATTGGCAAGAGCATCGTCTTTGGTCGTATGGGAGAAGCCTCTAGTACGGCTTGAAAGACAATGTCCTCGCATTTTCAGAGTGCAGTGCTTCATATATCGAAGCATCTACTGAGCAGGTCATCCCGATTAACACCCTTAATCCGGGGAAACTGTTGCAATTTGCCCCTGCTCTTATTGTAAAGAGCGCTCTGACTCCAGTCAAGCCGCGTGGAACTGTTCTTTTGATTGACCCAGATCTCGGTTTACAGCACACCATTGAGACTGAGGCTGCTGAAACAGATATTGCTGTGATAGTGGCCTCTTCGGAGTACCAAAATCCAAATGTTATTCACATCTCACAATTTCTGACCCAGGGTCAACTCGGAGCACTCTTTCCACCGTGTATTGATCAGGTTTTCGGCTGCTCTTCTCAAAAGAGTCTGTCAGTCAGAAAATTCCTTGCCCAGTATCGCACAGTCACAATGGCGGAATTCTTCTCTTTGCAGCCCGGTATGAAGCAAATGCCCTCTTCGGAAACATGGCTTGCCACAAAATTTGTCAAAGGCACGAAATCCGACCCGCAGTGACTTCTCTAGTTTTATATTCCCCATTTAATCCTATAAAAGATAATGTGGGGAGACGTGTTGTTTATATATGAATGGGCCTAGGATCGGCATTGCTAGTCTTTCGAGGTTCATAATTGTCTTCGCCTGGCTCACTAGGTTTTCCATCTCAAATTTCGCTTTAATCCCGCTACGGTCATCCTGCAATGGCTTCTCTGCATCACAGTCCATCTGTTCGTTCAAATCCCCTCGAGGATGAGAAGAATGAGAATGCCGTGGCAGAGATGGTTGAAACTGTCCCCCAGAACCAGGAAAGTGTCGAGGAAGGTGCTTGGGCTTCAGCGAAAAAGAGCTCTACTAAAGTCATTCTCTACAGCATCGCCGCCTGCGTGAGCTCCATGCTTTGGGGGTTTGACATTGGTAAGGATTCAAGTCTCTATTGAGTCGTGAATACTAACTCTTCTCTTGCTATCTTCAGGCGTCAACTACATAAGTGTGGCATTGCCGGCATTCAAGATGGTATTTGGGTATGAATATAAGGGCGAGCTCTTGATCCCAGCCACGTGGAATGCCCTGTGGTGCAGCAGTTCACTGGTATCGCATTTTATTCACAGGCCTTATACTTCCTGGGAATTTCTGATCTACCGACCGCTCTTACTTTCCAGGCTTCGGTGCAGCTATGTATGCTTGGAAACATTGTCTCATGGTTCATCATGAATTATGTCGGTAGGTCATCGTCTTTCCATTCGTTTGTGGTGCTCCGAATCTCACTATTTTATGCAGGGCGTCGACCGCTCCTTTTGACAGGCATTTTACTGAACGGCCTTTGTCTGATGTCTGTCGGTGTTCCCGGATATTTCACCACCATGGCTGCCCTTTACTATATTGGATACGTGATGAACTTTGCCCAGCTTTTTTATGCTCCCACCGTTGGAGCTGTAAGCTGGATTATCAGCGCAGAGGTGAGCTCGGTAAAGGCTCGAGCTAAAACGCAAAGTTGGGCAATTGGAACCAACGCGTTAGTCAGCTGGGCCATGAATTTCATTGTCCCTTACCTTATCAACACCGACGAGGGTGAGTTTTTCATCCAATCAATCTCCCTGTACTCTGAATACTGATGAAAACTACCCCTAGCCAATCTCGGAGGCAAAGCTGCGTTTGTATGGATGGCTCTCGCTTTTGCGAGTCTGGTTTGGGCTTGGTTTGAGGTTCCCGAACTCAAGGATCGGACTTTTGGTGAACTGGATGAAATTTTTGCTCAATTGACACCCACAAGAAAGTTTAAGGAAGCGATGGTGGACTCTAGCTCGAGCTCTAAAGATGTTTCATCTTAGCCTGGCTGGTTCAATCGCTATCTTATTAATAGCCGAAGCAACTTTTCTGTTTGAACGTGTACCACACTACGCTTCTACGTAATTTATCGTTGTCACTTCAGCATCCTCAGCCTTTCCTAGTAGTGTTATGTGTCTTTGTTCCTGTTATCATGCTGTTCTCCCCTATGACTATGCACATGGGCGTTTTGACTTTAAGCGCGTCTATATATTTAGGGACTTGTTCCGAGTCCGAGAACCAATTTTCATTTTACTTTCTCAGCTCGCACGTCAAACAATCGGCTTGGAGAAACTGGGGAAATCGGAGAAGCCGAAGTATGGGGTTCTGTGACAGATTTCGTCGAACACTACGAAAGTGGAGTGCGGAGGGTGGAGGTGGAGGCGGAGTAAACATGATCTAGTCCCGTTGGGACTCTCCATTAAGGTTAACCAATCCATGACAAATTTGTTTTTTATATTACGCCTAATCACAAGTCCATCTCGCTATTTACTGTTGTTTTTGAGATGATGCAATGAAATCTGTAAATAGGGTTCGAAGATTTCTGGAACCTGATCATTGGAAACTGCGCTCGGCGACTCGATACGAACTTACGACTCGACAAAATTCTTAGTAAGAAAAGTTCAATTGCCAGAATTGTAAATCAAGTGTACGTAATCCTATGTAAACACTAGCTTTGGAAGCAAACGCCTTGGTCTATTAATGGTTTGACGTATTCATGCATTGATCACAGGCCATTCCAAGTTTGCATGTCCTCTATTTGCAGATAAGCTGCATGATCCCCCGTTGCGATCTTGTAATTGCCATTGAGAGACCGCCAGCATTTAGCCAAGCTATCCCATTAGCCGCTGGTGTCTTGCTGGGGGACTGAGGAACCGATCCGTTTAGTTCCGTTGGGCTCAAGCCATGCTTTAGTGAACGCGATGAGCTCAGACTGAGGTCTCCAGATCATGGGATAGAGCGGAGGCTAGCTAGAAACTTGAATAACCTCATATCCAGCCCTATCGCTTGTGTGCTGAACGTCCACGGCAATATCAACTGTCCTTCTGGAGATTTTGAGAGGCGCGTCACCGTTCATGGAGAGACATTAATGGGATTTCCATAGTGTATAATAAAGATTGTTTTCTTGGATACACTAGCAATTGCTTTGATCATGCGGATTTGGCTCCCGGGTAGTTTCAGGGCCTGAAGGTCGAACCCTTCAGACTTATGCTCGTGTGTACGACCCCCAAAGATAACGCTGACATTTGAGCGAGCAGCAACGGTGACTGCCTCGGCGATGGCCACACGATCGTTATGCTTTTCCATGAAGCATAATTTCGCCGAATGAGGAGAAATCTCTCCGTCGGGCGAAGGAATGTCGCGAGAATGAGTTCGCAATGTGACTCTGTAAGGCTTATGGTCCTCCATTTGGAACTCAATCGCATTTCCAATTTCTTCGGCTCGAATAAGAAATCTTCGACTGTCATGGCTGGAGCAGGATTTGAGAGTAAATAATCATAAAATTTAGACAAATGCATTGTGGAGAGTAATGTGATTTCGGGAAGCTGACCTCGATTCCATCCACACATAATGTGAATTCTCCTGTAGCTTGCACATCAAATTGGGTGGAATATCCAGCAAGGCATTGACGCACCGCCGATCTGGAAAGGAATCACCGAACGCCGGGTCTCATTTCGCGATTTATGCACAGGGTGCTTATGGCAAGCCATGCTTTGAGCCTGCGCAATTTGAGTTTGCGGAATGGAAGGTGGCATCTGAGACGAATTAAACTAGCAGCATGCTGGGGGTATGCTTTTTAACTCAGAAAAGCAAAATTCGTTGAGTACGACTGCTACAACTTTAGAGATAGAGAGTTCACCACTCTGAAAAAAACCTCAAATTCAACGAAACTGCTCTTATAGATTAGCAATTTCTCATATACCTGAATCAAGAAAAATCGAATTGCAGGCTAATAAAACATTCGCCAAATGCAAATCATCTCATCCTATGACTCCAACAAGAAACAAATCACCAACCAACCTAAGTATAAAGCGGCTGCGTCAACTCATTCAACGTAATACCCCCCTTCGCAATATCCCTCTCAATCAAAAACTTCAACGGCATCTCCACCAATGTACCCTTAACCTGACTCAACAACTCCTTAACCTGCTTCGCGCCCTCGGCACCAGGCGCGAAATCATCACGCACAACATGACCCCACTGGGATCGCGGAGGACGCCTGAACCCCTTACCCTCCGTCTCCTTATCCGCCTTGTGGAAGTAGTACTCATAGAACACCTTGTAAGTAGCCCAGTTCCGCATGGCATTGTCGGGAACAGCGTGGAAGACCTCGCGGAAAACCTTAGTGTTGGTGTGTGCGCGCGAGTTACATAGGCTTTGGAGTGTATCCGCGAATGGGTCGGCGACGACCTTTCGGGGCACTCGAGATCGATGTGATCTTGATGATATAAAAGATTATCAACGACCAGCGGTGGGGTGGGCCAGCTTTATGCCATCGTATCTCGGCCAGCGGATGGAAACGCTTGCAACGAAGGTGCTTTATACTCAGTAGTGGTCCGCCCGGAGCGACGCACCCACCGTGTATTTCATGTTCACTACGGAAATATCGCGTCAGGCAATACTGTACTCAAGGATGCTATCGTGCGAGACGAATTTTCAAACGACCCAGAGCTGAATATCTTGTGCTTTGAGATGGAAGCTGCAAGTCTGATGAATACCTTTCCATGTCTGGTAATACACGGAATCTACGATTACTGTGACTCTCACAAAAATTATGACTGGCATAAATATGCAGCACTCACTGCTTCTGCGTATGCACGAGAGCTACTTTTATCATTATGCCCGCAACGTGTGAATGTCATGCCTCCTTGGGCCGAGCAAGAACTTCAGCAAGGTTGGGTCTAGACCTCTCAATAGCCCACAAAGCCTATAGCCCAACCCAGCCCAACCCACCAAATGGGCTGGGTTTTGGGCCCTATCTTTAGGCCCATCGGTGGGCCGTGGGCCCGGAATGAAAGCCCGTAGGGACCATTCCGGCCCATAATTGGCCCAAGACAATACAAACATACCAATCTATTGTACGTGTATAATTAATGCATTTTTCTCTAGTTTTTTAGGGTATTCAAATTACCATCAGAGCGATATATAAAGCTATTTAGAAACCTTCTTCTAAGCTTATAAATTAACTTATAGGACTAAGTGATTTGATTGATGAGATATAAAATGATAGATATTAGAAGATACAAAGTTGATTTTTATAAAGCTTTACTTTCTATAAGGGGTACTTATTTTTATTAAGGAATTATATAGTAAGTAGAGGTACCGTTAGTGTTACTACAATTGACACCTAGATATAGACCTAATACATATATATCTCTCTATATCCTAAGTACAAATTCGTGGTGAAATCGGTCCTTTTTGGTATGATTTTATATGAAATTTTGTGTGAAATCTAGTATTATAATGCTAAAATCAGTATAATATCTACTTAATTCCTACTTCTTACTACAGTAATATAATGATACTCAATATATAGATTGGTATATGCGTAAAATATATCTATTAATCAGCTACTTTATATATGCCAAGACTATATTTGTGCACAGAAATGGGCTTTTGATAGGCATTGGTGGGCGCCCATCAATGGGCTGTGGGTTGGGCTATGGGCTGGGGGCTTCGGCCCATTTATAGGCTATTGAGAGGTCTAGTTGGGTCCCTACATTCTGATTTTCTAGCACCGTATGGTTTCTCGTGACTCTATATTCTATGAAATGGATAAGCCTGTGATGTTTAACAGTCTCTATCTGCCAACCGGTACTTAAGTTTATCATCAGAAACACTGACTACAAAACGGGTTCCAGTTGGGGGAGGTTACAGGTTGTGCCAAGTCAGGGTACCCACAGGGGCGTGACTTTGGCTGACTAATCCAAGGCCCGCCTACTGTAATCTTCACCTCAAGCATAACTGTGTTTCCCCCGAAGTGGTACCCATATCAAAAATGGAGGGCCTTCTGACGGCAGTGAAAACTGTCAAGCGAGATCAAGATGCCCTTGTTACATCTGCTGTCCAGTCTCTGCAAGCTGATCCGCCAGCAAGAAATGACTTCGATTCTGAATATCTATCATCACGTCACATGATAGATCTACTCAAAACCAGCCCCGATCGTGAACAGCTGTCTGTCATCTTGGCAGCCCTTGACCCCTTTAGCAAGTCTAAAACCACAAAGGACTTCGATCTCCGGATTGCAAGTCCCATCACAGCCCAGATTCTCCAACTCTTAGTCAGCACCACGATTCCAAATCATTGGGGATCGCTAGATACAAAAGACAGCAAAGGAAAAGATGCCAAAGCTCGAGCAGCATTATTGAGATGCCTTAGCAGCGTCGCTGGTCTCGGTTCCTTGGTGGCTCAGCTACGATCTCTAATCAACGCGGCCCGCACTTCTGCCCAGCAAGCCCAAGGTTCAAGCAGCCAACTCGGTATCCGGGATCTGTTGGCTGTGCTTGCTGCTTTGCTAGAGCCAAAAGACTTTTTGTTCCGTATGTCTTCCGACATTTCGACTATCTATGACAACAAAACTCGACAGCAAGTTACGTGGAGAGAGCTTGTGTCGCTCGTTGCTGCAGGCAAGATCCTATCGACAGCAGCCGAGGCTCTTACTGTTGTTGATGAGTCAAAATCAGTGTCTTCAATCTCCTGGGTTGGAAATGGTTCCCAATATGCATCATGGCTTGGGCGCAATATCTCTCATATGGCGGCGAGACCAGCTCTAGATAACGGAGGGGACTGGGCCTCAGTTGCTATGTTGACAGGGCGAGCTTTAAGCCTTGGATATACAGGTAAACATACACATATGGCTCTATTTAAGCCCCATACTAACATCGCACAGATCAGGTTGTCAAAGAAATTTACTCGGATCTACTTATTCGGCAGTCCTCACCGGCGCAATTTAGAATCTTATTGGACCACCTCAGACGGACGGAGCAGCTTGCATTTGTAGAAGCAATCTTCCGTGATATACAACGAAAACACTTTTCAGATGATCTATCGGGGATAATGGGCCAGTCGATCGCCCCTTCAGCGCCCATTGAAAGAGTGGCAGCTTTGATTTCCATCATCATCTCTGCTCGGCCAGACCTGGAAAGCCAGGTCATGGAATGGCTCTCAAAATCGCAAGGTGGCTCGATAAACACGCTGGGACTACGTCGTGCAATATTAGCCACTAGCAGTAACCGCGGTGGTAAGTTTGCGTTGCCGAAGGAAAAACAAGACAATGAAGCTAAATACACGCAACAGATCTCTTGAAGTCGCTGCTCATACGCAGCCTTGAGCAATTTGGAGACAATTTCTCTATCAAACATATCCCAAATGTGGTTCAGAATGGTTTGTCAACAGTCCACAGTCCGCCGTTCCCAAAACATTAGCCTCTGACATTGAATAGCAACTGCACAAGTGATTCTTCTTGCTGCTGGCCACCTCTACCGGCTAGATCGAGCGCAAGTGAAAGAAGTAGGCCGGTCTACAGCATATCTCAATGCAGTCTCCAATCGACTGGCTGCGTCCTCTAACAGAGCACGACTTCTTGGCATGATCGTTGGAACAGGAATATCCGAACTCATTGAGGAGCCAGACAAAGTGCTGAAATTTGATCTAGAGGAGATGCAAAGCGAGGAAGCTCTTTGGTACTTGAGTTTGTCCAAGGTCCAAGATGAGGTCGGTTCGCCTGAATCCATTAAAGCATTGCAAGAGGCATTGGCAGCAAACCCAGAACTACTTCGCTCCAAGCCTGCACAAAAGCCCAAAGCACAGTTTTCCCGGCATCATACAAGCAAAATCGTTGCTATTGAAGAAGTCGAGGATAGTGACGCAGATGAGGATGAGGAAGACGACGATCTCATTCCGTATGAAAAGCCGGACGACGACGCATACGATTCTGATGATGATCCTACGTTGATCCAACGTAATAAACCCACAGCGCCTGTGTAAGTACTGATTGCCTGCTAATATCGATTTCGCTAACAAATGTAAGATACATCCGTGATTTGATCCCATCTCTTCGAGACACTGAGAATGTCGAGCGCTATCATCTCGGCATCACCACTGCCCCATCCTTGATTCGTCGGAAGATAGGGTTCGGAACAGAACTTGCCGAGCAGATCGAAGAGCTAGCTCTCACCATCGTGGGTCTTCAAAATGACAACAATCATCCGTCATTCCATGAATCTCGCTTACAAAGCATGATTGCATTGATTGTGTCCGAGCCCTTGAAGATGGGCCGCTGGTTTACTGCTATCTACTTCGATGGAGACATTTCTCAAGTCCAGCGATCCGCTGTCCTCACGGCCCTGGGTCTCAGTGCTCGCGAGTTAGCCGGGAATGGAGAAGACGATGCCAAAGCACTGCGTCTCCCAACTACTGGGGATACCTCATTCCCATCCAAACGGCTCTCGCCTGCCCTAGAGGCCATGTACTCGGGAACGAATGAGTCTCCCATTGCAACGCTCACTCGGGAAATGTCTCGCACATCCTTGGAACCGCTCGCAGCCAACGCAGCAGATACAATAACTGGTCCCAATGCTCTCAAAGTGCGCACCTTCTCATCGCGTATGGAAGTCGAGAAGAAACGCCAGCAGCGTGACACCAAGCGCCAAAACTCCACAATTAAGGATCTGCACAAGGTTCTTGCTGAGGGTTTCTTCTTCCCACTGCAGGGCAGATTTGAAATTATGATGCTGCAGTTCTCCTCGTATGCCTAATGTTCCCCTATCTCATTTCGAATCATTTACACTAACACGCCATAGCTCCTCCACGTCCTCATACAACCCATTCTTCATCCCCCATCTCCTAACCCTCTTCCTTCAAACCCTCTCCCTCGTCCTCTCCACAACAGGCCCCCACACCCCCTTCCTCCCAGCGCTCACCCACGAAACTCTCTCCCTCCTCTTACCGCTACACACAGCCTCAACATCCAGCGAGCCGACAGTGACTGCCGCACTCTTATCCCTCTTCCTTGCTATAGTGGATCTCAATATTGCGTCTGGCTCAAATGGCGAGCAGCGTCTTGTCACCGAGTACGCCACGCAGGTGATCGAATTGCGCGAGTGGGCTTCCCAGGTCTTCGACCGGACGCCGCCTTCTGCTGCGCGGGCTGACCCCAGCTCAGCGGTTACTGATCCGCAGGAGCAGATACGTACCCTTTCTGCTGGTGTTATGGTGCGGCTCGGGGAGGTGATAGAGCGGTATCAGGGTCGGTTGATGGGTGTTCATTCTGGATTTAACTATTAAATCAATCTTAGGGATATCTATCAGTTTCCTAGGTTGAGATTCAGAATTGAAGCAGACGGTGGAATTATGTGAACCTTACTACGATCATCGGCGCGCCTTGGTCTTTACATTAAAAAGAAGACTAGAGCGTGCTGCTCCATTTCTTCCGAGTATGGCATACATGTGTATCTATGTATCATTATGATCGCTGAGGTGTAGATTAGCCCATTTACTCCGCCTTGGCAAAGCTTCCCTTCTCGATAGCCGCCTCCATCATCCGATCACCACTAATGATACTCGTGGTACAGATAATGATCTTCCTCCGCGGAGCCTCTTGCGCAGCAATGAAGCGCAACGCGGCGATCTCCGTGAACGTGATACCTCCCAAGAAAAAGACATACACGGCCTTTGTAGCAGAGTTACCACTCAGCGTTTGACGCGCCCGCACAGCCTTGTCATCACCCTTCTGGACAATGCTGAAAGTCGCACCGCGAGCACTCTTGACAACGTCCTCGAAGCCAAGCCAGCCAGGCGACGTTGTATTAGCAGTATTCAACGAGGCGGCCGGCGTACTTCCCTTAATCAGCGAGACCATGTAGGACTTTTGTAACACACATTGAACCAAGCGGACGCTAAGGGGTGCAAAGCCACTGTACACGTAGGAAATATCGTTCGGGTCCTTCTCGCTGACCTCCTCGATGACAAGACGGAGGTTCTTACGCAAGTACCCGTAGTTCGTCTTGGATCCTGCTTGCGCGCCGGATGTAGGGAGGAGCATCGTTGTTGCTGAAGATCTAGGCTGAAGAAGCTCCATTTTCTCTAACGCCCAGAACGTGAGGAGGTGCTGGTGGCCGTAGGCTTGAACGATCTGTCTCTTGAAGCTCTCTAGGTCGCGGGGACGGAGGCCCCCAGACATGCAGGACTCTAGGCACAGGAGCCGTAGCACAGTCTTTAGTGGGACGTCGCGAGCTATAAGCTCTTCAATTGTCTCGTGCTGGTATGTAGAGTCGGCACCGGCTGCGTTGTTCTGCTGGACTTCTAAAGTTTTGCGGAAGGTTTCGGAGCGGGTGAGTCGCATTATCTCCTCTGCGAGGTTGGTATGGGTTCGAAGACTCTGGTGCTCTAGCTGGTAGGTTGGTAATCGGTTGACAAACTCTCGAAGCTCGCCTGTTGTTTTAGCTGTGTGGCGGCTCTCGTACTCATTTTCTAAGCGACGTGCCACTTTATTCAGGATATCGCCCACGATCGCAAAGTTTGCATCTCGCAGTTGGCTGAATAACTGGTCCGAGGCATCCAGTTGGATCTTCCTTTTCAGCCCTTGTTTGGCTTGCTGGGGTGTCTTGGATGACTCTTGGGACTGTGGCGTGGGAGCAGGACCGACAATGCTCGTATCAACGTCTGCTTGGTTGTTCTTTATACCGACATATTCATCAATTAAGCCTTCATAGGTAAGCTGTGTGAGAAGAGCCGTCCCAAAATCAACGTCACGGTCTATGATGATCAAGTTCTCTACACTCGCACTGGGTAAAAGCCCTCGTGCAGAGGGATCAGCTAATCCGGAGCTTTCCTCTGCATCAAGTTCTTTTCTCATGCGCAACAGGAGATCTGCCAGGCGTCGGGCATTGTCGCCTTTTCCGACAATACGTGGGAAATGTCCATGGCGCTGCTGGACACCCATAAGAGCCTTAGCAGCATGGAAGATACACCCGGGGTCTTTGTGCTGAATAGCAAGGTCAGAAAATGTCTCGTTCAAACATTAGTAACCTATATTAACTTACCAAGTACAAGTCCCCAAACGATTCATCCAGTTCTAGTGACAAGATATCTTGTTCTAGAGGCATAAAATAGAGCGGAAGTTCGGCGATGTTCACGTCGCCAGTGATTCCCGCCTCCTCCAAGACTGCATTGCTTACCAGAGTCCGTCTTGGAGCGAAAAAGATGGAGAACTCATGTCCAACGTTCCCATTATTCTGCAGGCGTTTGATTTGCTCTAAGGTAGAAATGTCAGCTTGTCCTGATGGCACTCAATCAGAGATAGCAGGAAAGGGCCCTAATGAAACGAGCTTGTAAAAATGTTGTAAAGATGAATATCGATATAGGGAACGTTTCTCCAGATTACATAGAGTAGAAAAGCCTCTGTGTAATCTAATGATAACCCATCATGAACCCAAATGAATGAGAACCAATCTACGCCAGCGTAACAAGCCGAAAGGGGGCGAAAAAAGAGACAATGTCATACCTGCCACAATTCGAACGTGGCGCGCTTTCTCGCCACGAACAAGGAATACAACATTGCGTTGTGATGAGTCTATGTTTGCATTTTCCAGCAAGAAGACCCGGTCCACACCATACTCCTGGAGCACGGAGAACTTGACGAATAGCCCCACTGGGCCGGCCAGTTCCTGGCTTATGACGAGGTTCTTCTTACCCCGGGCCTGGAGGATAGTTAGCGCAGATCAGAATATCAAGGAGCTGTACGCACGCCTTCTAGTAAAGTCAAGAGATCCCTCCGTGCCTTGTCCCTAAAGTAGTCCGCATCAGACCCCGATAAAGGAGCCATTTCATCCAGGCAGCAGAGGCAATGTTGTGGCCAAAAATAAACAGAGACGTTGAAGTGCCACTGCGCCCGCATTGGGTTAGCACTGCCACTGCTGATGTAACTTCGTAATTTTTGTATTAGTATGGTTATCAATACTATATTCATAATGAACTTGGTAGGTTACTTTGGTATGCCCCTCGTATGTATTTTACCATCAGGCGGCGATCTCGAACATCTAGCTCCCCTGAAGGCGTCTCACATTAATTCTTTTCTTTTGTCTCATTTCATTTTCTTTCTCCTTACTTCCATTTACCCTCGATTATTTTAATTTCACTCAACAGATCTTTACAACCCTGCATCCCCGCACATAATGGGACTTTTCAAGAAATCCGATGGCGACGAGGACTCTAGCCGCCGAGCACTCTTCGGCTCGCGGAAGAAGGACAAGAGCCCCTCGACTACCCCAAACCCTTACGCCCAACCAATTCCGGTAGACCCATACACTAAAGCCAAAATTGGCGCGGGTGTTGCCCCCTTGCCTGCCGACCACCCAGCTGCCAACGGCGGCCGCTCGTCGCAGAGCCCCCACTCCATCCCCTCCGACAACAAGTACTCCGCCAACAAATACGGAAACCAAGGCGGCTACGGCAGTGATCGATTCGGCGGATCTGGCGCAGGCGCCGGCTCCCCAGCTTCCGGCTCGCGGTATGGAAGCGGTGGCTACGGAGGTCTGGGCAGCGGCGATCCCAATGACCCCGCGGCTGCAGACTCCGCTCGCAACGAGCTGTTCGGCGGCGCCAACAAGAACAAGAACCGGTTACCGGACAACTCGGCCGGTTCACCACCGCCGTACTCCGAGGGCCAAAATGGCCAAAATGGCCAAGGTCAGAACAACTACGGTGGTGGCAGCAACGAATACAGCATGGCGACCTTCCAGGATCGACAGCTGACAGCTGAGGAAGAGGAGGAAGAGGAGGTCCAGGCGACCAAAAACGAGATGCGTTTCGTGAAGCAGGGTGATGTGGCGTCGACACGGAATGCACTCCGGGCTGCCGCGCAGGCTGAAGAAACCGGTCGTGCCACTCTGGCCCGACTCGGTGCGCAGGGCGAGTCAATCCACGACACAGAGAAGAGCCTGGACATGACAACTATTGAAGGCCGCATTGCGGAGGACAAGGCAAAGGAGCTCAAGACTCTCAACAAGAGCATGTTTGCCGTGCACGTGTCGAACCCGTTCACGGCCTCGCGCCGCCGGCGTGACCGCGATGAGAAGACCCTCAATACACACCGTGAGGATCGTGATATCCGCGAAGGCACACGGTCTGAGGCGCACGCGACTAATCAGCGCATGGACCGGGTGTTCCGTGATATTGACCGCGATGCGGCGAAACAGGGCAAGGGCAAGAAGGCGAGTGTCACCGAGCGTGCCAAGTACCAATTCGAGGCAGATAGCGAGGATGAGGCAATGGAGGACGAGATCGAGCAGAACTTGGATCTGCTCGGTGGTGCTACTGGTCGGTTGAACGGTCTTGCCAAGGCCACTGGCAAGGAGCTGGATGAGCAGAACAGACATCTGGAGCGTATTATGGGCAAGGTGAGTTTTTGCGATCCGTTCAATCTGGTATTCGTGTGGATATGAGACTAACTGGCTACAGAGCGACTTTGTCGACGATCAGATTGCCATGAACCGGGCCAAGCTGGACCGGATTCATTAGATACGTTCGCTGTTCAAGGCAAATGGGCTACGGTATGCCTGGTGCTGTCGAGCTCAGTAATTTTCTGCGTACATTCCGTTCGTTCGACGGGGATCTCATATTGGCGTTGGGGCTGGTTCTGCATTGTCTGCCGTGATCATATCAGAGCCGGCGACTAGAATATTAGTTGAACATCAATTATCATAATCTCATTGCGATTCATTTCGAGTATGTCATACTCGAACTCAATTGACCTACACCGTAGGGAAGTAGGCCAACCCATGCCTCTTGTGAGGCTCACATGCTTCTAGATATACAATACGAGTTAGATAGACCCTTCGACATTGCCCAATTACCCTAAGAAATCTGGCGGGGCACTCTTGTCATTCCACAACTCAAACCTCAATCACAATATCCAAATCCCGAGATCGACATGCCGACTGCGGGGACTGTGGGGTGAGCACCCGGAGAATGAACCTCCGCAGAGCCCTAAATGCATCGGAGTATAAAACCACAGTTCCAATCCAAGTACAAGTCACTTGCTTCTATAAACCTCATCTCAAACTTCCAATTTTACGTTCTCCCAAGTCCCATCATGCCTCTGCCTCTGCCTCTGCCTCTGCCTCAAAAAACCGATATCCTCGTTATAGGTAGCGGCAACGCCGGCCTCAGCGCCGCCCTCTCCGCCGCCCAAACCATCCCAACCCTAAGAGTAACCGTAATCGACAAAAGTCCCATTTCCTGGGCTGGAGGCAACAGCTACTTCACAGCCGGCGCCTTCCGCACCGTCCACAATGGCCTCCACGACCTCCTCCCACTAGTCAACAACACCGACGCGACACAAGCATCCCGCAATTGACATGCCAAGTTACACAGAACAAGACTTCACCGCCGATCTCCAACGCATGACGGGGAACCGCACCGACCCCGCGCTATCAGCAGCTCTAATCCACGACTCGCGCGCCGCCGTAGGCTGGCTAGCTGCCAACGGCATCCGCTTTCAGCTCTCTTTCAACCGCCAGGCGTACTAAGTCAACGGCAGAATCAAGTTCTGGGGCGGACTCGCGCTGAAAACCCAAGATGGCGGAAAGGGTCTTGCTGAGGATGAGCTGCGCGCAGTGAGGAACGCCGGCGTGGATGTGCTCTTCGACACGGCTGCCACGGCGCTAATAACTGATCCGACGAGCGGCGCTGTTATCGGCGTTGAAGTTGTCAACACAGACAGTGCGAGCGTACACAAGAAAATCACCATCGCTGCCGGCGCGGTCATTCTCGCCGCAGGTGGTTTAGCAAACCCGCAACTACGTGCGCCGTAGCTCGGTCCTGGGTGGGATAGTGCGCGCGTGCATGGCACACCGTATAATACAGGTGAGATGCTACGGGTTGCGCAGCGGGATGTGTCGGCTAAGACGGCCGGGAACTGGGGTGGATGCCATAGTGTGGCGTGGGATGCGGATGCACCGGCGGATTCGGGGAATCGGGAATTTCGAATGAGTTTACGAAGAGTGGGTATCCGCTTGGGATTATGGTGAATCGGGATGGGGAGCGGTTTGTTGATGAAGGGTTTGATATGCGGAACTATACGTATGCGATGATTGGGCAGCGGGTGCTTCAGCAGCCTGGACAGGTTACGTTCCAGGTTTGGGATGCGCGGACTGTGGCGTGGTTACGTGGGGAGGAGTATCGGGGTGAGGTTGTTCAGTGCATTGAGGGTGCATCGTTGGAGGAGCTTGCGGAGAAGTGCGTGGAGGTGGGATTTGTTGATCCTGGACGTTTTGTGGAGAGCGTTCAGGAGTATAATGCTTCTGTTGAGGATGGAGATGGGCAAAAGAGGTGGGATCCTGCTGTCAAGGATGGACTTGCTACTAAGGGGCTGGCTGTTCCCAAGTCGAATTGGGCTTTGCCTATTGACAGGGCGCCTTTCCTGGCTGTTAAGGTCACGGCGGGCATCACGTTCACTTTTGGTGGATTGGCTGTGAATCCTGAAACTGCGGTGGTCATTTCGGAGACGACAAATGATGAGGTTCCTGGATTGTATTGTGTGAGTGACATGCTTGGAGGTATCTTCCACGATAACTACCCTGGCGGAAGTGGATTGACTTCTGGGACTGTCTTTGGGCGTCGTGCTGGTCGAGCAGCAGCGGAGCGAGCTGGGAAGAGTGGAAGACTCGAACGGTTGTGATGCTCACGATATCAAGACTAGATGGCTATAAAGAAAATCAACTACGTAATAGAGAATGATAGAATGTTCAGAATGTCTTTTATTGATTAGACAATATATTTAGTAGCGACTGTAATGTGAAACTTGAACAGGGCCAGGCCCAGCCAGTATCAAAACAATAGGAACAATGCATCTTCCTATGGGTATCATCACCAACACCAACCCAAACTTGCACGTGAACCCATGCACTTGAAACGCAGACTTGGTGGGAAAAGGCGACCGGGGCAAAGGATAACAATGTAATAGGTTTAAGCCATGCAGAATGCAAGCCATGGAAGATTAAGAAGTGAAACAAAGAGTCAGGCAGGGTATGGCCTGCAGAGAGAAAATAAAGAAACATCGAATCATCACAAGCCCCCATGGTATCGAGAAAAAGCAGAAAGGTGACGCCCAGGTCTAGCGAAAGAATAAGAAATGAAACGAAAACAACGCATCCAGCCGGAAACCTCTATGGTCGTAACATGGGTGAAACAAAGGAAACATGGGAATATGAAAGAAAAAAGAAAAGAAAAAGCTCTCTTGCCTGTGGCCCTCGAACAGAACCCATTATACTCATATATCACAGACCGTTTTGGAATGAGTATGGTATGTATAGGCGTCTCTCTCCGATCAGGAAATATTTGTCGGGAGTTCATATAGAAGGTGGTGAAAAGGTGATCCATGCTGTTGTACAAGGAGACGAGAAAACCCCAGCCGTTTGTATAAAACATGCCAACGCAGTTGGTTCATGGATTTGCTCATGGCATAGGGAGAACGAGTTTGCGGTGGGTGGAAGGTCTGGCGCTCTGTACGCGAAAGGGGTAGGGGAGAGAGCATTCGATGGGGTTTCCGCGTCGAATAGAAGAATGTAGTCGTATGAAAGAAGATTCACGGATTACTCGTCGTCATCGCCAGAGCCGGTGTCCTTCTCGCCCTTGTGGACCTTCTTGTGTCGACGCAGGTTTGAGACAACGGAGAAGTGCCGCCCACAGCCTTCGACATCACACGCGAATGCTGGAAAAAAAAATGTTAGAATGAATTTAGAATGATTTGCCTTGAGAAATATAAGACTTACGCTTTTCACCAGTGTGGCTGTACATATGCGTCTGCAGGGAAGACGGACGCGTGAACCGCTTGTCGCAGACCTTGCACTTGTGCTTCTTCTGGGTGTTGGAGGGCATCTTGGAGCTGAATTGGCTCATCATTGATTGTGGGCCAGGGGGGGCACTGCCGGCCAAGAGGCTGGTCGGCCGGGGGAGAGTGCGCGATTCATATGACTCGGAAGTTGTGGAGCTATAGTCTGTCACGGAGGAGTCGACGGAACCCACAGATGCGCTGTAGTAGGGGTAGTTGCCGCCGGATGAGATGGATGAAGCGGACGACTGGGTGGAAGGGAAACCGTAGGAATCGGCTGAGCTTCGCGTGCCGCGAGGGCCGGGGCCGTAGATGTTACGCGGGGTCAAGTCCTGGCTGAGAGCGACCATTCCACGGCTGGCGTCGAGCGCGTCACCGAAAGTGGGGGCGGAAGCTGAAGAGCCAACGCGGGCGGCATCTCTGTGGGTTTGCGTAAGTTTTTTTTTTCTTTTTGCGACTCCGAAGCATGTAAGCAATGCGGACTTGGAATTCAACTTACGAGTGCGAGATACGGCGGGCGTCTTGCGGGGAGGGGTGAATGGGGGCGTAGGCATAGCTGGAAGGCGCGAAACTGCTCATTGGGGGAGCGGTTGTGTAGGAGGGAGCCTGATCGAAAGTTGTGCGTGGCACCTCGTGTTGCATTCCCATTACCTCGGGGCCATAACTGGCGGCCGCGTAGGTGCTCCCAGCCACCATTGAGGGGGCGGACACAGGGATGTTGGGGTATGGCATAGACATGCCGGTGCGGTTCACTTCCTCCTGCTTGACCTGACTGAGACCCATGCTGGCACCATTACCCATGGAAGTCGCATAGACTGGTGGTGTCGAGTGCGATGAAGTGTGCGCCGCCCACGGATCTGTGAATTGTGGTGGGGTGTGGTGGTAGACATTGTCGAAGCTCATGCCGCCATAGGGGCGGTTCTGGTTTTCCATAACCATCGTCATGGGGAATAGAGTCGCGAATCGATCGCGTGTAGAAACTGTATAGAGAGAGTTCGAAGATCGAGTCCAAAGGGTTTTCCTTTGGAATAAACTGATCGTCTGTGTTGATCCGGAGGAATATGAAGGAGAAAGTGATAAACCCGACGATCAACAATTATTTTATAATTTTTAAGGGAGTAAAAGAGAAAGCAGAGGCAGTCTGGGGAAGGGGATCGGCGAAGCTTATGAAGGAATATAAGGTGTGAGGCATGATCCCATATACTCCAAAGTGCCACTGACGACGACCCGTCGGGGGTTGCAGATCGCTGGAAATTATAATACCGGTATTTATTTTATTTTTATTTTTATTTTTATTTTTTAATTATTTTATTTTAATTATTTTCTTTTCTTCTATGATTTTTTGGCTTTTAACTTTTCTTTTTATTTCTTTTTTCACTTTTCGGATTTCTCATTTTAAGATTTTTTATTATTAATATTATTAATATTTCTCTTTCTTTTTTCCCTCTTAGGATTGGCGGAGGATAGGCATTGCTTGGAGAAAAAGTAAAAGTGGTCCCTAACGGGAACCAGTTCCTCGGATGTTGCAATTACTCTTTATATTTACCCTAAGCATACTAGTAATACAATTTACCCTTTGTCAATCAGGGTCTAAAATAAATTAATTGCTTAAGCATCAACTAGGCTGAGGAATGGAAGATCTAAAGATTCTGTGTGATCAGTATTTAAATGAGAATGTCAAAGTTGCTCGACTCCGGCATCGGAACCGTAATTATAATGAGCCACAGAAGTTAGAAAGTAACCAGGAAAAAAAGCATAACCAAAATTATTTCCTACTAACAATATACATACGGAGTAAGAAGGAGACGAAAAAGGAGAAAATCATGAGACCCAAAAAGCAGTCGGTGACCTCAGATTCAAAGGGGGTGTAGACTAGGGGAATGTTCAATTATAAACTAGCCATGATGAACGCTGATGAGTGGTCCAACTCTGCCGTGTTTGAGGGAAGAGAAAACAAAAAAGGAAATATATGAATTAAATGAATACAATAAAAAATTTTATAATGATTTATAATAATATGGAAAAAGAAAAAAAAAAAGAGAGAAAGGGACTGCCAAGAAATAAACTCACCAAGGTTCGCCCTGAGTCTGCTGTTTCAATGTAGCGGGGCAGATCCCAATGTCAAAGGGTATACCCGCTACCGTGGGGGTTCATATGTAGTGATAGTTCTTGACGAAGCACGGAGTCCAGTCTATTCAATATGATTATCAGACTATGGTCATTAGTTCCAGTAAGGCCAATACTTAAGTACACTAAATGTACTCCGTACCTCTTAAAACATTCCAAGACCCTTTGAAAAAGGACATGGCTTAAAAGACAAAAGCCCACATCTGGGAGGGCATACTGGAGTCTCTCATTATTGGCAAGCTGCAGGATCATAACCCTAGCACATAAACATAATTCCTGTTCTTATTCTTTAGAAAAAAAAATTAAAAAGATAAAAGGATAAAAAGGAATGGCTTAAGCCATGGAGGGGCCTTTGACACGGCACAGAGAGGGTCTAGCGCGTCAACCCGACCTTACATAGAGAGAAGGGAGCATCGAATCACTAGCCGCCAACATTATTGACTGCATTCTAATTCAATTCGGTCAGGGAATTTGCCAAAAATGCGATGACGTTTGACATCCTAAGCCGAAGGACTCCTGTTTCAGAAATTATAGACAGAATATACAGATGTTGTGCTCCATTGACATGTGGAGGATGTACAGTGCAGTCCGCTGGGGCACACTCCACACGGGTAGTAAAAATTTACCTTAGAGCAAGAGCGGGAACCATATTCTACTATACGAATACTCCGTACTCCGTATAGGTTTTCCGACCTCAAAACAAAAACTTCTCAGTCACACCGTTTAATGTTCCCTCGGTCGCAGAACCACAAATGCACACAAAAATACGAGCGTGCAATGAGATCGCGCCCACAGTACATAAAAAAAAAAGCCTCCTGCAGGTAGCAGGAATAAGTTTGAATACCAACGCTGCCATTAGCCGGGCCATGCGAGCTGTATCACATAGAACACCCTTAAGTCCACGCCTAAGGCACCCGGGCGAACCAAAATGAAATCCATGACAACCTCGTATTAGACCTATGGTGATAAGGGCCACGGGCTGCAAGCCATGTTTTTCCCCCTCCCCTGTCTGGGATTGGAACAGCTGGACATCGACGTCAGAGGGGCGGAACAGCGCAACCTTCGATGGGGGTGAGTGGGAAAACGGGAAAAGGGCCGCTTTGGACAAATTGGCGGGCGCGGCTCCCGCAATAGCACGGTAGAATAAAGAGCCTGAATGGGACATATCACAATCTATTGCCCTATTTTGTTTCTTTCTCTGTGTTTATTGTTTTGGGGATTATTCCCCATGTCCTCGTGCTGTGGAACCAGGCATCTCCTCTTCTCTCCGATCAAATTTGATATTTCAATAGTGTATAAATTCGCAAGAAATAAATTTCCGAGATGGAATCAGGATGGTCCCCGAGACTCGGGGATTGATGTAACCCCCCCGGGAGTCGCTCTGTGTGGTACAGGTACTCCGTACCGTCTGTACTCCGTGCAGTGCTGATCACAAGGACGAGAGGGGGCAGACCCGAGGAAGAGGCTGAAGAAAACTTACATAACCTTGATCCAATCCAATTCTCCATCCATGATTGGCGATTAGCTCGGGGAAGAAAATAAAGGTATACCGTATGACCAAAGTACAATGTACACATACACAACATATACTTTGTATTATACATGCTATACTCCGTGCTCCTAAACCATAAAACCATAAACCATAAAACCTTCGGGGATCAGGATCAACCGCCGCTCTCCCGGACAAGAGGACAAAACATGTTCAACCATGTTCTTGCCACTGCGGAGATCTAAGCGGGGAGCTTGGGACCATGGACGTAAACCAGGAATCAAAGCCAAAATAAGTGCCGTTGGAATTTTGTTTTTCTCGCTTTCAGGCTGTTCAGTTTCTCCGCATTCTACTGTGGCAACGCCACGGCGTCCTCGGTTGCGAGGTTTTCCAGAAAAAACTTAGACTGGGTCACCAACCTTGGAAACTGGCAATTAAACAACTTGCGGGCCATGGACGAATATTGAGGGTTCGGTCTTCATTCGGTCCAATGTCAAGTCTCCCAGATGCAGTCTACCTAGGATGGAGGAATAGCTATCCATGGATGGCAGAAGTGTGCCTCAAAGACAACCGTGGGTCCCGGGTTACCGGATTAAGATTGGAGTATCGATTAGGTTTCTCTCTATCAACTTACTCCAAGCACTTTATCCAAGAACTTTATTCTTTTGGCTGTGTATTGAAGACATCTTTAACCTCAGAACGAAGTTGTCTGGTTTCCAAGTATCGAGAGCCAAGGTTACCAGTCTGAGACAATAAATGGATCTATATTATATGAATACCCTCCGTGTGGATCTATATGTTAGCTACTAGGTTTATCTTATATACATCTCACCTATATATCAACGCCCAGGAGAAAAGTCTCAGTACAGGCCACCCGAGTCTGGCCAGAGTTCTGACCGTGTCTAGACGGTCGGGGTGGACATCCCCCAAAGGAAAAAGAAAGCACTTGGGCAGTCAGTCGGGCACCCAAGTCCCAAGTCCACACTGCACAGTGAAAGGGGCAAAAAAAAAAATCCAGGTCCAGAGTCAAAAATCCAGGTCCAGAGTCAAGTTACTTCAGCTTCAAGTTACCCCATTTGAATAGCCCATATGGAGCCCGTAAAATTAAGAGGCGCGAACTCGACCACCCTAACCACCCGAATCCAATAAAAAAAAAAAAAACAAGCAATGCAGCATACGGACTATAGTCAAAGCGTAACCCCCCTTTTTGCAGCCATGCCGTGTCGGTGGACACCACTTGGCATCTCACCGGCAGGACTCCGTCGCCTTCAACAAACGCCAACTGTGTTGGCAAATGTGGCGTTTGGAGGTACTGATTTTTGGGTGCATGGTTGAAGTGGGTGAGGGAGATGTGAGATGGAAAAGTGTGGATGCCAAGATGTTTGTGATTTTTTGATGTGGATATGTGGTTTGCGTGATTCAATCCCAATTCGTATCTGTATACATTGACATGGCGTTCAGTAGTTCAAAAAATATGTGACTTTTATTGTGACTTTTAAGGAAGGTATACCTTGGCCGCAATATTGCGCCGGAGCGTGCCGGATAGACGCAGCCTGGGAATGGAATCAAATTGTAAAAGGGTATCACTCGTAGGGTATAGGTTATACAGGTCCACTGGGCCAGAAGGCCCCTGCTAGACACGGGAGGGGTGGAGCATATCTCAAAGTGGTGGATGTTGTGAGGGAGCTCTTCAAGGTCTTCTAGATGGGGCCTTGACGGGCCTGACCGCTTTTCTCGTTCCAACACGGCTCACATTATGTTGTAGTGACGCGTCCTTTGGGACCCTGAGAGGTTTTTTTTTTTATCACTTCGCGATTTAATCATCGTGTACTCCGTGCTCCGTACTCCATACTGAGTAATTATCTTTCCCGAGAAACCCGCTGGAAATTTTAGAAAAAGAAAAAGGGCGGTCAGACACCTATGTGACAGTTCAACCGCAGGAACATCGGAGAAATGAATACATAAACTCCCGGATTTTGATCTCAATATACAATCGATCGTCCATGTAAAGACGATTATCACCTGGCTGAAATGAGAACCTCTCCCAAAGTACGCTGTAATCAGATCCCAGATCCTTATCTAGCACGTTGACGATCCGCCTCAATGCCGAGTGTCAATCAGGTACCCTTGACCAACAAAGGCCTGTCATCTGCATGGGGCTCCAATCTTGGCAGTTCCCGCACGGCAGATCGGCATTGTGTGCAAATCACCGTTTTTTTATGGTTTTTTTTTGTCTCAGACTGGATACAGCGTACTTATTCTAGTGATGATATTCCGTGGTATTGAACTCTCGAAGTAGGGTAATGGATTGATTGCACTTTGATTATTA